AGGAAAATTTAACACATTAGTACCTAGTACTTCGAGTGAGGTGGAGATTCAGGTCCAAGAACCTGAAGAGGAAAATGAAGTAGTGATAGAAGAGCATCCTGAGGAAAAAAATCCATTAGCTAACTATAATTTATTTAGAGATAGAGAGAGAAGACAAACGAGAGAACCTAGGAGGTTCGGGTTTGAATCTGAATTGGATTTTGCATACGCTAGTTACGAAGAACTAGTTGATAGGGAGCTGGAAACTTTTGAAGAGGCTATGAATAGTGGTCAATCTAAGGAGTGGCTTAAGGCTATGAAATAAGAGATGAGTTCTCTAGAAAAGAAGCAAACTTGGGAGTTAGTACCGAAACCTAAGAATAAATCAATCGTTGATTGCAAACGGGTCTTTAAGGTTAAGGAAGGTACTAGTAGTACAGAACCCTTAAGATTTAAGGCTAGGTTAGTAGCGAAGGGTTACACACAAAAAGAAGGTGTTGATTATAACGAGATTTTCTCACCAGTTGTCAAGTACACTACTATTAGGGTCATGCTTGCATTGGTTGCGCTCTTTGACTGAGAACTTGAACAACTCGATGTAAAAATCACTTTTTTACATGGAGAGCTTGATGAACAAATCTTTATAAATCAACCAAAAGGTTTTAAAGACAAGTTAAAACCTGATTATGTGTGTTTTCTGAAGAGATCCCTATACGGTCTAAAGCAATCACCTAGACAGTGGTACAAGAGGTTTGATTCCTTTGTACTCACTATAGGATTTCAAAGAAGTAAATTCAATCACTGCCTATATTTTCAACACAACGAGACTGATAACAATTATTTGTTCTTGTTGCTCTATGTGGACGACATGCTTTTAGTTGGATCATCTCCTAAGTGGATAAATAATATAAAAGCAGACCTTAGTGGAGAATTTGACATGAAAGACCTAGGAAAGGCTAAAACGATTCTAGGCATGGAAATAGAACGAAATAGGTCAAATTTATCGTATTCTTGCATCAGTCTCCATACATATCAAAGGTGTTGAAAAGGTTTAATATGAGTGACTGCAAACATGTCACATTGCCTCTTGCAAACCATTTTGTTCTATCTAAAGAACAAGCTCCCTACAATGAACGTGAAGTGGAATACATGAGTAAAATTCCATACTCAAATGTGATTGGTTCCATAATGTATTTGATGGTTTGCACTAGACCGGACTTAGGATTCGCTGTTAGTACTCTCAGTAGGTACATGTCTAATCCAGGTCCTAAACATTGGGAAACATTAAAGTGGCTTTTAAGATATTTGAAGGGTACAAGTGACGTAGGCCTAAAATTTAGTGCTAATAAGGAAGGCGTGAAATTGACTATGCAGGAGATAGGGATGGTAGGAAATCAACTTCCTCTTACGTATTCACCTTATCAAATTCGTGTGTTAGTTGGAAATCACAGTTACAACACATAGTTGCACTATCCACTACAGAGTCAAAATATAAAGCCACCACTGAAGCAATTAAAGAGGCTCTATGGTTTGGAGGTCTACTTCATGAACTAAGTGTCTTGAATGAGTATGTGGTTGTGTATTCTGATAGTCAATCATCCATACATCTGTGTAGGAATCCTATTTTTCACGAACACACTAAACATATCGATGTTAGGCTACACTTCATTAGGGATATAATATCACAAGAAGTAGTAAGACTTGAAAAAATTCACACACAATATAATCCTTCAGATATGGGCACGAAAGTGCTGCCACTGGTAAAGTTTAGAAGTTGCAAGGAGCTTCTAAATATCGATATAGGTAAATGATTTTCAATTTTATCGATTTTCTGTTAGAGGTGTCACTAATGGAAAACGTTTTCTCTTTGCAGGTCCTTTGACACCAAGGTGGAGGTTGTTAGACATTTGTTGTCAAACGACCTCCCAGGCGATAATGAAAATCAGTTTTATCAGTTGACATGAATGACTGAATGATAAATCAACACCGAATAATGGGATGACCCGACTTAACGTTGTTTTACCTATTGGATGGCTAATAAACCTTTGTGGCTTGTTGGTGTGCTATTGGGCCATAACCCTAGTTGAGCCTACTTACCATATGTATAACTTACCTTAAATTTTTCATTGGACTATTATATATATTGGTAACTCTCTTTCTTCCTACTTGTCCCGTTTTTGATAGAACCCGAGAGAGAGAGTGGCTGCCTTCTTCTTCTCCTTCGTGCATCCTACTGATTGATCTTCTCTACCTTTTGCTTGTGTCTTTATGACCCTTACCTGTGTAGTATTCATCCTAAGTGAGTGAGGAAACAACAAGCAAAAGGAAGAATAGCAACCATAGGAAGCAAGCAGCGCCAACGGTCGGTCTCTTCAATTTTTTGGTGTTGATTCGGTGTTTAAAGGTTAACTGAGCCCGAAAATCACCTTGAGCAGCTAAAGAAAGGTCCTAACAGGTAGCATAGAAAAGATACTAAGCATGGTGGAAACGCCATTAAGATCTCTGAATAGATCAAGGAACATGGAAGTGCGAAATTGTGATAATCTAGCAAACATTGCACAATCCAATTAGACTGAACTATTGCAAAATCTTGAAACTCTTGAAATACGGGATTATAGGGCACCAAGTGTAATATTTGATTATGAGGATCTAAATATTAATAAAGACAATGAAGAAGAATTAGTATACATGGTCAATCAGAATTATTGGACCTCAAAAATGGAGATTACTTAGTGCCTATTATAAGAATGGTTCCTAAAAGAATCTGTGTCTTCCAGAATTTAAAATCACTTGAAGTAACAGGGTGAGGTATTTATTCCCGACTTCTATGACTAATTCGTTTGTGGCTTTAGAAACTCTATATGTCCATTTTCGTAATGAAATGGAAGAAATCATTGGAAGAGGAGAAGAAGTGGTCAAAGAAGAAGGAATGGCTAGCAAAATTGTGTTCCGTGAATTGAGGCGCACAAAACTAATAGGTCTTTCAAGATTCAAAATGTTTTGCTCTCAATCTTTGTGAAGTCTAGTCGATTTTTTATTTTTTTTTCACATCCTCCTCCTCCTCCTAAGTATGTACTATTTTTATTTTTGGTTTAGATAAAGCATGTCATGCTTAGTGGTTTAATTTTTAAGTATTTGAAATGACTCAAATATGTAATTCTTGGTAGGTCGAGTTATTTTTCCATGTCTTTGAATTTCACGTAATTTTAATATAATTCTTTGCATAATATTTGTTCTTTAGTTTTCTGCCAAACATTTATATATGTATAAAGGTTGTTACAGAGAATAGGAAGAATTCAAGATGACATAAATGTTGTTTGTGAGAAATTGATATCTTCATTTCAGAATAAATTTAACCACAAGAAAGTAATTAGCTATTTAAGTAGAAAATATAATTAAAATTTTGTTAACCTTTGAGCATTAAAATTATCTTAAAAGATAAAATTTAAATTCGTTGACCTCAAATAACTGTAAGTCTATATTTAATTGTACATAATAGTAAAATATTTAATGACTTTTCTAGTGTCATAAACTAGTACATAATAAAATATTTCCTTATTATTTACTAAGTAAAATTAATTATTCAACCGTAAATAATATTATTTATTGTTATGTGAAAATCCAGCAATACCAAGATGATATCGGGCTTAGTTTCCAATCAAATCAACACCACCACTTGCGAGACACACCTCAATCCCTCTTTTCTTCTTCCCACTCACGGTTGCTATTCATACCCACAAAGAGACGGCCAAAGGAAGAGCAATATCACCCAAGAGAAACCACACAAGTTACACAAGAGAGAAGGTCGAGACTGAGCAGAGGCCAAATCACAAAGAGAAGGCAAAAGACACATTTTCTTGGAGGCACAAACAATCGAAAATTATAGCCCAAGTGAGAGACCAAAAAGGTAAGTTAGGTTAGTTAAAATTGGTGGCCCAAAAGGCCCAACACAAAGATAATGGGCTCCAAATGGGTATCATAGCTTTCCAATTAATGGGACAGGCCACGAGCAACACTATTAAATTAGGTTGCTTCTAATGGTTTGTGAAAAATTGGGTTGGGTCGTCTCAATAGTGGTGTTGACATATCGTTCAGTCATATGGTCAATGCCAATTGAAATTAAATAAAACTAAGTTTACATCATCGTCCGGGAGGTCATTTGACAACAAATTGTCTAACATTTATTATATTGTCTAATTCTATTATCTCATTCTTTAGCCTGATTGAAGTAGTGGCTATTATGTAAATCTTACAACAGAGAATCAAGTAATCTAATATCAAAACATTTACACAAATAGTAAGTAAAAAATAAAAGTGTGAATGGTCCACCTTATTACTTTATATGTGACTTAGAGTTGAAAAGATCTTGGATATTAACGCTGCCTATCTAATTGTTTAAGCTATTTTCCCATCAATTATAAGTAACATCAAGATATTTGTTTAAATTGTTTCTAACTAAATTATGAATTATTTATAAATTGTTTAGCTGTTTATCATTCTTTGAAAAGATATTCTTCCTTTTATTTTATTTTTTTTAATCGAGCTAGATTAAAACGAGACCAAAAACACAAATAGGGAATAAGTTTATTGATGCAGTTGTGTGATGTATTCAAAAATACGCATAAGGGTAAAAGCATCTAAGGTAAATGGGCTATAAAAGAAACAAAATGGTTAAGGGGAAAAATGGAGGTGTGATGTACATGAGAATGCGTAAGCAACAAAGTAAAAAAAGTAATAGTTTGTCATTAGGGAAAACCTTTTTCCCTTCTCACTCTTTCTCTCTGATCAATTTTTGAATTGATGCTTGGGCAGGGCAGTGGGTCTACTTGTATAAACAAAACAAGTATTCTATGAGACAAAACATTCTTTTCTTCCAAATATAAACAAAACAAGAAAGTAACCCCTTTTATCCTCTAGAGATTATCTTCTTAGCCCATTTTGCAAGCGATTAAGATTCCAAAGAGACAATATATATAGCTCTATTCCAATAGCCAACATCATAGCAACTTCATCTTCTTTCAATTTGTGAAACTTCTGATTAATTGTCTACTCTCTCTCTCTCTGCAGCTTCACTTGTTTTTCTTTGCTTTCTCTTTCTTAGTCAGTTTAAGAAATCATGCAATGAAGGGAAGAGGAAACACAATCAGTTATTGTAAAAAGCTTCTGGTAATGAAACTGATCAATTGCATTATTTTCTAAACTATTCATTATGGTTATAATTCTGAAATAGTTTCTTGAATTTTATCGACCAGATTTTTGTACATTTTTCAAATTTCTACTCTAGCTGTTTTCTCAACAAGTCAGCAGCTGATAATCAACACACAGAACAAAGGTATGTATGTCTGTTATGCACGTTTATTTCAGTTTATTTTGGTTAATCTTTTTCTTAGTGCTGCATAAATTTACCATGAATTCTAGATCAAGAAAGAGTTAATCCATGTGGAATCTAATGCTGGATAACTCTATGATCTGCCTCGTGATGAAACGAAGCATGGAGAAGTTGATTAAAATTCTAGAACTCGTTGAATCAAAATTTCAGTATTAAGAATGGGACAAAATATAGAAAAAAAATAAAATAAAGAAAATCTCTCAATATTTTGTTGCATAAGAATTATCAATATAAAAGTCATCCCATTTACTGTGATGAAGGAAATATATGAAATAATGTTCTTTAATATTTTCCTAACCTTACTCTCTCTCTCACACTCTTTTTTTTTTTTTCACAGTTGCCCTCTTTTTTCATAAAAATGAAATAAAATTGTAATTAAATTTTTTCTATTGGTTGATTATAAATTTCAACAGATTAAAGATTAATCTTTTATAACTATATTTTATTTTATATTTATATTTATATTTTTACTTTTTGCCACTGTGAATTTTTCCATTTTTGTTGTTTCTTTGGTCCATTGTGGAATTTCATTTTTTCTTTTTATCTCGATAAGCATGGGTGACTTTTATTCGTAAAATTGTTTTCATACAACTTCAATTGTTTTACTTTCTTTGAGTCCATATTTTGATGATTATATACATTTTTGAATGAAAGTTTACAAAAATCTTTTGAAACGAAAGTCTACAAAAGTGCGTAAAAGTTTGTGGAAGTTTATGAAAGTCTTTGAAAATTTAGTATTATAGCAGTTTTTGAAGGTCTTTCCTTCATAATTCTATAGAATTTATAAAAGCCAGTATTGTATCATGAACTCTACAAAAATCCACCACTTGAAAAAAGTCCGCAAAAGTATTTGAAAGTTTGAATTGAATACATCCAACCTAACTCCAATCTTTTGTGAATTTGGAATATAATCCTTAACTTAGAAAAATAAAGAATTGTCCTGACCTAATAAAGTAAAAAAAGGGAATATAATATAAAGCAAAAATTCATCCCAATCAAATGCTTTGGTCCAATAGCTCATGGAGCATATTTTCATCCGAAGTCTTTTCAAAATTACTTTTTAGTTCTATTAGCAATAAGTTAGTACAATAAAATCTTTTAATTCAAATTCACATTTTTCATCATTTGCACTTCCCAAATCAACATTGTTCATCTTGAACGCCAATCAAAATCCATACATTGTCCTAGCAGTGATTCCAAACAAACCTTACTCAAATTCACATTTTTCATCATTTGCACTTACCAAATCAACATTGTTCATCTTGAACGCCAATCAAAATCCATACATTGTCCTAGCAGTGATTCCAAACAAACCTTATCAAACTCGTCTCTCCCCTTTTTCTTTCTTTCTTATTAAAATAAAAATTATTGACTGCAAATTACAGTCACTAATAAAATCCACAATTTACCTAAAATTTTTGGACTACTCTTCAATTTCAGTATCAGGTTTCTCATAAAAAACTATGGTACAATCATTAACATTGTTACCCAAATTCAAAAAATCATCAACTTCAACTTCTTCATCAAAAATTGGCACACCATAGTGTTGCCCAAATCCATGCATTTGTCAAACTCTACATGAACTTTCTTGCTGCAGTCATTATTAAAATATTTTTATATCTCAACATAAAAAAGAGGGAACCGCCATATTCCTAATCTGAATCAACTGTCTTATCAAATATCAATATTGTTTCATGTTCCCTTACCCAAAATAATATCCATTCATCGCTCGTGATAGAGAGGGACAAACTGGTTATTATCGTCATCAAAGCACTCCTTTACCATTGATTCGTTTACTGCCACATCTCTTTGACCGTCAAACATTGTGATAGAAATTCATTAATCTTGGTGCTTTGATACCTCCATTTGTTGACACGGTAGTTTCATTTCTATCAATCGTTATGCTTGTTATATCTCGAACTCCATCAATTATACATTCATTTACAAAGTTGATTATCTCCTTGAAGCCATCTCAACAAGGAACACAGCTAAAGCTTCAATGCCAACATATACAACATAAATGCGACGAAGATGATTAACACTTAAAACTCATTGGTTCAAAATTTAAATTATGAAAACTGTATAGAATATAGAGAAAACATCTTATTGATTAAAAAAGAAAAATATTCAAGCTAGTATCTATTTATTGAGATTTGGAATTCTGTCTTAAAATGTCAAACCTTAAAAGGAGTAGTCTAAACCTTTATGCTATTTATTTCACATTTCTTTGATGTGAAATTTATCCGTTACATGCCTGCAAGATAGTGGTTCATTTGAGAAAATTAATCTTGAAATCAATGTGCTCGTTTAAGTCATAATCGAATTGAATTGCTCATTTCAACTTATTGAATTCAGATACCATTTTAAGATTTGATATTCCATCTTAAATGATCAATCTTATCCCTAGGAGTATCCAAATCCTTATGTTATATTTTGTTTCGTGTTTATTTACAATAATAAAAATTAAAAATCGAACCTAATTTATTATATTAAATAATGCTTTACATACTTTTAAAAATAGTTTATTATTCTTCCAAAAAATGTATCATTGTTTCATCCGAAAACTACACTTTTCTCTCTTTACACAATATTTTCCATAAATAAATTTTTTTGTCAAGTCTCTTGTCTAAATAACATAAAATTATATATTTGAGTAAAGAAAAGAAAGAAAGAAAGAAAGAAAAGGAAAGAAAAAAGACCATCCACTACAAGGAAAAAAAAAAATTATGCACGTACTCTTTAAAATACATTAATGTGTAAAATAGAACGAAGCTAATAATCCAACTTAAAACAAATAAAATATCTAATATTAGCCTAGAATTTAATAACTAACATAAAAAAATCAAATGACTTTTCTATATTTTTAACACAACGTTAATTTTTTATTCATTTCAAGCATTATAATTTTATATACATACTAAAATATTTTAATATTTAAAAGATACCATGTTACATAATAGATAAACATAGTGGAAATTTTTTTCTCTTTTCAAATAGAGATACTTTAAACTCTTTAGCAAATTATAATAACATATAAGCAAGTACAACATTTTTTAGCAAATAGTGTTGTGTTATAATGAGTGTAGTATTTATGTAAATTATAATTTTAAAAACAATATATATATACACACACACACACTATATACACGGTGATCAACTATTTCCCTTTTTAGACGGTCTAGACTTGTTCCCTAAATCTTAGAAGTTCAACCAATTAAACTCCCCAATACTAGCTTTAGCAACAAATGGGACAAACTCCTTTTCAGAAATTTTGTCGTCTTCTTCAAATCAAACTCTAACAATTAGTTTTTCTATATTCATTTCCTTTGACTCGTACTTACGATAATTCTTGAAATTGGATGAGAATCTAATAATCAGTTCATAAGAATTATCTGTCAAATTAGTGATAACAGTTATCCCGTCTTTGCTTATGAACTGTTCGTTTCTCACAGTTTTCTCTCAGTTGAGCCTGAAAAATTTCCCCTAACATATCATCCACTCAAACATTAAGGAGAGAATATATTTGAATTTTGACATAGTAGCCTCGTTGTGCTCATATGTGATTCCTAGACACTTAATTCAATAGGTTCCACTGACATTGTTTGTTTTGCAGCTAATAGACTTCCAATTTTTCTGGACCTGCTAAAATCTCCTTTGTGAGCTTGGAAGTACTAACTCAACTCGTCGGACAAAAACAGAAAAGTTCATAATGGCGGAAGCCATTGTCAGTCCCTTTGTTCAGAAGCCTGCAGATTACACTATTGCTGCAATTTCCCTCCAATTTAAGTACATGTTTCGCTACAATAGGAACATTCAAAATTTGAGTTCTAAAGTGCAAGATCTTGAAAATAAGAGAAATGAAGTGCAATTATCTGTGGATCAAGCAAAAAGTAATGCATTAGTTATTAACCCAGAGGTGGACGCATGGCTGAAAAAGGTTGATGATTTAAAGGAACAGGCTGATGAATTTTTGAACAGCACAACAAATTCTGAAATGCGATGCCTGTACCTTAGGTGTCCAAATTTGAAGACCCGTTACTTGCTGAGCAGAAATGCCACAAAGAAGATTACTGCAATTGATGAGCTCCAAGTAAAAGGTGATAAATTAGGTGAGGTGGGCGTACGTGCACCACTACAGTTGCTGCCTGTCCATGGGTCTGAGGCTTTGAAGTCAAGGATATCAACTAAGAAGGAAATCATAAAAGCTCTAGAGGACACTCGTATCAGCATAGTTGGGATATATGGCCTGCCTGGGGTAGGTAAGACCACAATGGCACAGGAAGTAATGACTCAAGTACTCAAAGATAAATTATTTGATGAGGTTGCCAAGGTAGTTGTTTCTAAGGATGTAGACATAATAAGAATTCAATATGAACTTGCTGAAATGCTCGATTTGTCAATAAATGTTACTAAAATGAGAATTCTAGTAATATTAGATGACGTATGGACAGACATTAATTTGGAAACATTGGGAATTCCTTCATTAAATCGTCCTGAGGGGTTGAAAATTCTGTTGACATCACGGGACAAACTGGTCCTTGAAAGGATGGGAGCTCGTAACATTGAAGTTGGAGTTTTGTCTGGAGAAGAAGCTTTTGCATTTTTTCAAAATGTGGCAAAGATTTCTAATGATGCTACTGGACTGAAGGACATAGCAGAACAAGTTGCAGAGGAGTGTAAAGGTTTACCTCTTGCACTTGAGGTTGTTGGCAAAACACTCGTAAACCGAGAACTGTATGTATGGAGGGATGCACTTAATCAATTGCGGCATTATCAACATGGTGATGAGGTATACTCAAGAATACAGTTCAGCTACAACTATTTGGAAAGTGATGAACATAGGTCCTTTCTTTTGTTATGCTCTCTTTTCCCTGAAGACGAGAGTATTTCAATTGAAAGTTTGGTTACATATGCAAGGGGTCTAGAACTGTTTCAATATACCGACACATTATTAGCTACCAGAAATCGGGCATATACAATCTCTGATACTCTAAAAAGTCGTCATTTGTTACTATCAGGTGATAGGGGGGAGGATGTCAAATTGCATGATGTTATCAGAGATTTTTGTTTATCGATTGCATCTAAACGTGAACATAGGTATATGGCGAAACATGATATAACAACAGAGTGGCTAGAACATGATAACCATGAATCCTACGGTGCCATCTCACTAACATTTCAAGGGGAGGTTTCGTTACCCAGTAGTTTACAGTATGGGAACCTCAAGTTCTTATGGGTGCAATCTTTTCGGAGTGGAAGTGTAATTGACATACCCGAAGATTTTTTTGATTATATGCAGGAACTTAGAGTTATTCATTTCTCTGGAGTTCAAATTCCATCACCGATCCGACTGCCGCCAGGTCTTCGAACTTTGTGCTTGTTCAACTGTGATTTAGAGATTGGATTGTCATTCTTTGAAAGTCTAAAGAAGTTGGAAATTCTCTTATTTGTTGGTTCTTCTGTCTCTATTGATTTTCGCTCTGACGAAATGGTAGAACTTAGCAACCTAAGGTCTCTGGGTTTGGGGTTGATGGAAGATCCCCACATACTTCCCCCAGGTTTACTGTTCGGTATAAAGAAACTAGAAGAGTTGTATTTGGGAAGTTGTCTCAACACAATAGATGAAGAAAACGAGCACATTATCAAAGAGTTAAGTTCATTGAAGGATCTCAAGACTTTTCAAATTAAGGCTTTCGATGCTCGGGTTCTGACGCAATTATTACAAGAGTGCTCTGAGCAGCTTGAGAAGCTGGAAAGATTTCAAATCTGCATGAATTTCTTTAGTCAATCTGATCATTTTCGAAGGGAATTGAATCTCCACGATATTGATGGAAACATGCTTTTGGAACCTGGAATTAAGTCATTAATGAGAAGAACTGACAAACTTTCTCTGTCAGTGGAAGGCTGGAACAATCCTGTCATTGAGTTAGTTGAAGATGGTTTCAGTGACTTGAAGAGTCTGAAACTAACCGGTTTGGATTCTGAATATCTTATTGATGCTACAGGCTCCATTCCAAGTGGAATCTTCGGCAATTTGAAATATCTGGAATTGATTAGTATGCGTTATCTGAAAGAGATACACAATGGAAATCTTCCAAGGATGGAACCTGCACCGTTCCGCAACCTCAAAGAAACTGTAGTAGACAGTTGTCCTAAAATTAAGAGAGTGTTTTCTGAGTCAGTTGCAAAATGCATGGTTAATCTCCGATCTGTAGATATATCATCATGTCTGACATTAGAAGAAGTTGTTTCAATGGACACGCAAGAAAATGAAATTACCGAATCGCCCAGCAAAATTGTGTTCGGTAAATTGAGGAGAATAAAACTAATGGATCTTCCAAGATTCAAAATGTTTTGCTCTCATAACCGTGAACTTGTGTTCCCTTCACTTGATCAAATGATTATTCAACATTGCCCTGAGATGACAAATTTTTATTTTACTCGGGACAGCTAAATGCGCCAAAGCTCAAGGGAGTACAGATAGGAAACGACGAAGTTAATAACATTTCCAATTTCCCTAGATTGTGATGCAGGTACGTGAGGTTTTCTTTCATTTTACATATTTTATTTTTAACATATATGCTATAATTTCATGCGCCAAAGCAAATTAACATGCCCTGTTTTTGATGTTCCGTCAGCTAGAATAAAAGACAAAGTAATTACACTCGACATATGGTGACAACAAAGACTATGACTATGGAGAATGAAGTGCAAAGTCTACTCGATTTTTACGCATTTAGCTCGAGGTCATGCCTCTTCTTAACTATGTGCTATTTTTATTTCGTTTTCAACAAATCATGTCACATTTAGTGGTTAAATTGTCAAGTGTTTTGAAATGACACAAATTTGTAATTCTTGATATATCGAGTTATTTTTTTATATGCCTTTAAATTTCACAGAATTTCTATATAATTCTTTGCATAATATTTTGTCTTTGGTTTTCTGCTAAAAATTTGTAGATGTATAAAGGTTGTTAACGAGAAAAGGAAAAATTCAGGATGATATATAAATGTTATTAATGTGAGATTGAGATCTTCGTTTCGGAATGAATTTAACCATAAGAAAGTTATTAGCTATTTAATTAGAAGATATAATTAAAATTTCGCTAACCTTGAGTGTTAAAATTATCTTAAAAGATATAACGTAATTGTTAACCTCAAATAACTGTAGTTCCTATTTAATTTTACAAGATCCATATTATAGTTGATCAAATTTTCTAGTATCGAATAAAGTAGTACATAATAGAGAGAGAAAAAAATAACTAAATACTCTCTTATTATTTACTTAGTGAAATTGATTAATCAATCATATATGATATTAAAAAATCTTAAATTTTATTTGTATTATTTAATTTTACATTCTCATTTTTTAGCCGATTAAAGTAGTGGAAGAGGGTAAGAATGGGAATTCCTTATCCTCGACCATATAAATGCTACAAAAGAGAATCAAGTAATCTAATGTCACACCATTGACACAAATAGTAAGTAAAAAATTAACACACTAGGAATTGCATTAGTGTCTTTAATTTTTTGTTTTTTAATTTTGATAAATAAAAGGTTTAAGGAGATGGTCTACCTTATTGCTTTATATGTGACTATGAGTCCAAAAGATCTAGAATATTAATTGTTGTCTATCTAAATTGCTTAAGCTATTGTCCTATCAATTATAAGTAATATCTAAATATTGGGTTCAATTTTTTCTGACTAAATTGTGAATTATTTAAAAATTATTTAGTTGTCTATCACTCTTTTAAAAGAAAAAACTTTTTTTATGAACTATTTAAAAACTAGACCAAAACTATGAAATAAGGAATAAGTTTTGTAGTGTTTTTTATTACGATTTTATTTTTACGAGAAAAATATGCATGACAGATGTAGTGAAAAATATTCAAGAATGAATATGGTAGGTATTTGTTGTGCAAAATAATTTCATTTCTATCAAGTTTCAACTCTCTTTCTATAAAGTTTCAACTCTCTTGTGCAAAATAGCCTCAATTACTTAGTCAATTATTTACAATTATACGATATTGATTCATTTTTTTTTACAATTTATTCAGTTTCAATTTCAATTCATCCAATTCTCATTTCTCATTACATTTATTGAAATTTCGTCAAATTCTCGTTTCTCATTACATTTATATTTTTACCAGTTATTATATTTGAATATCATCACAAACAATCAAATAAATGGATCGGCACTCATTTGTTGAGAGTTTGTTCAATACGGGATGTGGACCACATTGCGAATCGTCTAGGACGCCTCAAAGTCAATTTCGGAATGAATTTGTCAGTCTAAATGACGTAATCATACCTGAAGATGTTGACATTCATGATCATAGAAACCACAATTCAATTGATTTGAATGATATTAACGTTCTCGAAGTGAAACATGAGGACGAAGACCCGAATTAAACATTCCAGTTGTGAGAGAAAAGTGAAAGGGGAAAAAACAAGCAAAACGTTGAGATCACTTTAAGTTGATTTTAACGGGAAAGTTTTCGATGGCCTCACAAAATCTAGAGCAGTATGTAAATACTGCCAACAAAGATTGGTATGACAAAAAGGAATTGGTATCACCTATCTCAACCGCCACTACAAAGCATGTGCGGTCAGATATGGATTTCTTCCAGCCGGTCAAACACAATTGTAATTTGATAGTCCAGGTGTCGATTCTACGACTTCACCCCTATCCATGTGGGTGTATTTGGATGAAAAAGCTCAAACCAGAATGGTGAAATTTGTTATCGCCACTGAGTTGTCTCTGGCTATTGTCGACAACCAACACTTCGTCTCCTACGTAAAAGAATATCTGCAACCAAGATACGTTGGGGTAAGTCGAAATACTCTTCGTCCCGATACAATACAATATTTAAATGATTCAAAACAACAATTAATTATGAATTTGTAATAATATGGATATGTTATATCTTTAACTTCTGATATATGGGAAGAGGTTAATAAAATAGCTTATATAGCTGCAATCGTACACTATATAGACCTACTTTGATACATGCATAAAAAATTATTGCTTTTAGAATTATTAAGTTTCCTCATAATGCTAATAATATATATAATGCTATTTTAAGTATTGTTAGAGAATATAATTGCTAGACTAAAATTCAGTTTTTTGCTTTCGATAATACTAGTGTTAATTGGGTAGTCGTCGATAAATTGTGTAAGGTACTGTAACCTAATTTTGGTGGTTATTTGTTTCATATTCATTGTGTATGCCATATTTTGAATTTAATTGTGCAAGATGGCTTAAAACATATAAAGGATGAATTTCAAAAGATTTGGAACGCACTAGTATATATTACGATCTCCCCTCGTAGAAAACAAGTATTTGAAGATTTTTGTATCAAAATTGGGGTGACAACTACTAAAATATCTGTTAGCGACGTAGGTCATAACTCTATTTACTTGGTATTAAAGTCATGTGAAGGTTTCGAACATTTAATAACTGACTTTTATAATAATAGATACGTTAGAAGGGATGACGATGCTATGTTGAATGAATCCGATTAGGTTTTAGCTTGGAAAGTTATAAAATTTTTGACATCTTTTTATGAAATCACAAAGATTTTATCGGGTGTTTATTATCTCACAAGTTGTATAGTACTTGAACGCTTATATATAATTGCAAGAACATTTCATAAATATAAAAATAATCCTAATTTTAGTGAAATTATAATTGTTATGGAATTAAAGTTTAGAAAATATTGGAAATACGTGCCTATGTTATTTCCTTTAGCATGCGTAATGGACTCCCAATATAATTTATCGAGAATTAAATACGTAATTGATCAAATCAACAAAGCCTTAACGTTTGATATGCCTATCACCTATAAAAATTTAGAGTAAACATTATGTGAAATATATGAATTATATGCGGACTGAATGGCTATGAATGTTAGTCGGGTATCCTCTGCACCTACTCCTTCGACTGAAATTGAAAAAAATGATGCCGAAATAATGAATTTGTACGTGAAGTGATATGTTGAAAATAAATTTAAATGATAAAAAAAAAAATTTCTCAAGGTGCAATGGTGGGACCCAACTCCATAATTTCCATGTTAAAAAACCATAAATGGGCGGTCCCTTAAATGTCTTTTTATTTTCAGAGCATTATCGAAGTAAAAAATTGGCATAGTTTGTCAGCCAACAATATCATAATGACCATGATATACACAGTCGACTTGGTACTATTATATATTAATGGCCTTTTCAGATATTGATTTTATTGTATCATATAGGATTAGATTCAAGAAATTCTAAATACTGTTATAGTTATACATGTCGTGCTTTACCATTTAATATAAAAATGTAAAATATTAGAGAAACGTCGCAGAAATTGAATTTTTTTTTATTAGAAGTTTGATACGTGTACATTTTTTTTATATATTAATATCAACTAGACCGTTTATTTAAAAGTTTTAGATACTGAAACGGGGCATGTTCTTCTCTTTGATACTAAATTAAGATATCTGTTTATAGGCATGGAGTTGTGCATCATTAATTTAATCTTCTATAGTCAATTTTAGGCAATTACAAACCAACAAAATAGATATTAATGGCTTTGCTTTTGGCTGTCTTTTATATTCCGTTCTCATGCAGTTGAAATTCTACTCGCTATCATAATTTACTGTTGAATTTTTCCTCTTGGACAACGCCCTGTCCACACGGGGCCAAGTAGCATGGCCCTTTACTGTTATACAAGAAAATTGATTTTGGACAATTTTCTAAATAAAATTCGTCAGTGGGTTTGACATGAATAATTATAAATATTTTGACCATCATCATATGAATGACCCAACACATGGCTTTAAGAGCGATATCATTGCTCCTCTACAACGAGACAATAGCTAAATAAACCGGATGCATCAATCAGTGAATACAATGTGTAATAGGTAAATAAAAGCCTATCACATTCAAATAATTTGGCTGACCTTATATATGTGTTGTTTAGCAACTTCGTCACCTATCACAGTTACAAAGCAACAACATTTAGAATTCTCGCATATTAAGATTGATGACGGATACAGACTAATGTGCAAACAATATATAAATTTCGAAACTTAGCAAATACTTATCGATATCGACATGACATATTAATTCAATAAAATTTAATTTATTCCTCAAAATTCACAATAAATTTAATATATCATATCACTATTAAACGCTTAGCATAAACTAAGAAATGATATTTTAGGTGGATGTGTTCATTTGCATATACAGAGAAAATATTATTAAGATATTGGGAATGTCTATCATGGTGATTGGCATTCTCATTGTCATTGGATTCTTCATTAATTAAAGGTTGATACCAAACTTTGACCAAAATGTTTATCATTTTCTTCAAAGTAAAACAACTTCATATCAAATTCTTGGAAAAACATCTGTAAACCATGTTCTTGCATGTTCATGGTACACATATTTTATTTCGTGGAATTTGTCACTATATGGTGAGAGGCAATGCTAATTCGAGTAAAACAGTCTCCTTGAAATGGTATTACTCTCAATGTGGCAAAAGGCGATTATTTTATTAGACCATGAAATCCTAACAAGAGACTAAACTCCATTTAAAAAGAGACTAACCAACCATAATATCTAAAAGTTGAACAAGTTGATTAGTAGATTTAGTAATAAAATCAATCAAATTGACAAAATATGATTCATATAATCAACCTCCAATTTAATGATAGTAAGTTTTAGTTTATCAATATTCTTAAAAGCGAGATCTGAACTTTTATCGGCTCTAGTTGCCATGAATTGCGACCGTGGAAAAAATGGGTCACAGACACTAAAATTTGATGACTATTCGATTCTCTTGTAGAGAAATAAAGCAACACAAATCACACTTAACGTCCCCAAGCAAATATTTGA